AGCTACTGTTTCTGTTTTGGTAGAGACAGGGTCTTACTCTTGCTCAGTCTGGTCTCAAACTCCTGAGCTCAAGCAATCCAGTCGCCTCAGCCTCCTAAGGTGCTAGGATTACAGATATGAGCCACCTCGCCTGGTAGAACCATCCCTTTAGATCAGGAGTCCCAACCTTTTTGGCATGAGAGAGTGGTTTTGTGGAAGACAATTTTTCCACGGACCAGGATTGGAGGGAGATAGTTTCTTTCTTTCTTTCTTTTTTTTTCTTTTTCTTTTTCTTAGGGGGGAGATTGTTTAGAGATGATTAAATCTCATTACATTTACCTCCCCCACATGTGCAGTTTACAGTAGGGTTTGGGCTCCTATGAAAACCTCAGCTTTAGATCTTCTCGGGTAAGAGGAACCCAGGAAGATGAAAGCCTGCTAGCTGCTCTTAGCACTAGAGCGAGGAAAGTCATTTGCAGCCAGCAGATGGCGCAGTTCCTAAATCTGTGGTATCTAGGACCTGAAAGCCACTGACCTGGGGTGGTATTTGGCTAGGCATATACCTAGGGCTTCAGTTTGGGGGACATGTTTATTAGCTATTGTGAACAGATTTTTTTTAATTTAATATCTTAATTATCTGTTTAAAGATATGTTGTAATTTCTCTAGTCCCTGGTTACTGCATGTTATCAATTTTAAAGCATTTTAAGTGAATTCTCTGTGGTTTTCTAGGGCTAGGATATCTACAAACAATAACGAATTTATCTTCCTTTCCAAAAGTAATAGCTCTTATTTTTCTAATTGTTTCATTACACTTATTATAACTATTAGATAATAAGGGAAATGGGAGGCTTATGGACATTCTTACTTTGTTTCTGACTTAATTGGACTGTGTCTGGGAACTTACAGTTAAATATCACGTAATCTGCTTATTTGAGATACGGATTCTTAATCAAGTTAAGGACGTGTCCTTGTATTGATAACTGGGTTTTTAAACACCCAAGGAATGGATATTAAATGTTATTGTATTGAGTTTTGGAAGACTTTTTCTTGGAATAACAAATTGTGATACTGGTTGATATTTACCAGGATTCCATTCGTCATTTTTTGTTACAAGAAACACACTCACAATAAGAAAATTCAAAGGTTGATTGGAGGTGGGCCTTTTAAGTGGATTATTTAAAGTTCTGATGGTAGAGCAGAATTACTCAGCAAAACACATGACTGAAAAACAGGACAATTTTAGGGTGAGGCAAGCGAAAAAGAGAAACCAGTGGTTGCAATTTTATTTAAAACTTTTAAGGAAGTCATTCATTGCCAATAATTAAAGAGCTCGAAGAAATGTCTTCTAATCATAAGATTACCAAACAGAGCTCTATTACAGCTAATTAAAACTTAAAAAAATTTTTTTCCATAGAGAGAGACTTCACTATTTTACTGATGAACTCCAGTGCTTTCATACTTTACTTGGCAGTTCTTCCTAACATCTGATCTGAATATTTCTTGCTGGGGCATAGGTCTATTTCTTTTACCCATACTTTGTTTAAGGGGAGAAAAAAGGTATTCCTCAAATTAAGTGTAAGAATCCATGGAGAACTGCACCCTGTTAAAAAATCTAGAATTCACATGGCCACTTGAGTATATTCCACTGGCTCAGAAACAGAAGGGTTCGCAAAAGTCCAGAAACTGGTCGTGTAGCTTTTTGGATTGACATTGACATAATCTGTGGCTTCCTTTGTGTTCTCATAGTCCCGGGCAGAGTCATTTTTCAGTCCTCCAGGGGCTGAAAAGACCACTTGCGTGTAACTCACATCCTTGGTGGCCTTAGGAGAAAAGCAGAGATATGTGGGTCAAAATCTGCACCGTGTATGGAGCAGGGGAGACCCCAGCACTGAACTCTCACTCAAAAAGGCTTGCCCATTAGCTGTGTCTAACGGCAGGTCCAGGGAAATAAAGAAGACTGCCAGTGGCTCTGTCCCACCTGTCTGCAGGGAATGGGTGCACGGATGAGCAAGTGGAGGAGTCGGGAAGCTAAGATGCAGAGACTCCATCCAAACGAGCTCAGGACTCAGAGCAGATTTTGGTCCAGTGACCAGGGTAGACAAAGAAGGCGGGTTCCCCTTAGCATCTTCATTGTTATAGTCTGCTCAGACCTACTTTGTCTGGATGATTGTGCTGAAATGGAGCTGTCAGAGAGAAACCGGACCACCCACACCTGAGGATGCTGTAATGACTCAAGAAGCCCTCCTTTCATGCTCCCACCTCCATAGCTGGCGTAGCTTGAGCTCTTAGAGTTTTGCAGCAGGGACCCCAGATTGCGTGTGGAAGGCTGAGATCACTAGGCCTGTCCATTACCTGGTGGACGGGAGGTGAGCTGTCGGAGCTGTCCGAGCTATCTGAGGATGTGTCACTGTCATCTGGGGAGAAACAGAAATGATTCCGCTTCCAAGGCGAGCCAGAGGGTGTTAAGAGAGGACAGACACAACAGGAGGGAAAATTCTGTCATTGTCAGATGAAGGTAGCAGAGCCCTCCACAAAAAGAAAAGGGAAGAGTGATACAGAGCCCCCAAAAGAGAAAGGAGAAAGAGAACAGAGAACGCACAATGGGCCAAAGAACCTCCAAAAATAGGCAGGAACATGTCCAAGGGTCCAGGACCTGCTGCTTCATTCCCCTTCTTCCCCTAACACTAATGCCAGACACACTAGGCTTGGCCGTGCTTGGGAAGGACTGTCTGCCAGAAAGAGAAGTTAATAGTGGCAGTGTGGCTCTATGCAAACAGTGCTGGTCTCAGAAGTCATGGGCAAATGAAAAATAAAAAGAGAAGTCACGGGCACAGGTTCTAGTCCAAAATTGTCTTTAACTCCAGGTGGACCACATCTCTTTTTGTGCCCTGCTTCTTGTCCCCTATAAAACACAAGAGTTGAGCAGTGATCTCTGAGGTCCCAGCTACCCTACCTCTGATTCTAGCCAAGCTCTGCTGGAGCTTTGGGGCCAGGGATCAGGGTGAGGCCAGGGTGCCCCTCCCCTTGTGTTGAAACACTGAATGACTGAATGCATGTAAGCCTGGTTCACAGAGACATGGAGGCCTTATCTCAACTGAAAAGATAAAATCAGAAGGACAGAGGAAACTCAAACCAATCAAGAGATAAACCAGTGGAAAAAGTGCAATCTCCGGTGACTGAGACCCCATTAAGGCGGTGTCTTGCTGCTGAAGCAGCAGTTTCCACCTGCTGGGCTGCCTGAGTCCTGAGATAAAAAAACGAGAGGGTGGTGTTCATGTGGATTCGCTAGCAGGAGGGCAATATAGACTTGAACCATCCCCAGACTTGTATTTATTCAAACACCCAGATATATATAAGACTGTGAGGAAGTGTCCCTATGGGGAGTGGGGAGAGGACAGCTTCTGGAGCCACCCAAGGGCACTGGCCACAGTGTGGTGGACAGCAACAGCCATGGCTGGAGGCAGCCAAAGGTTGTTGAAATTTTAGCTCCACTATTAGCTGACCAAGCAGAAGAGAAGAGCCCATAATATTACAGGGAGGAGCAGAGACAATCCCCAAGGTCACCTGCAATTGTTTACACATGACCAAACCCAGAAAAGAACTTAGACCCACAGAAACCCAACAAGGTCTTCCCCACAAGGTTGAGCACATTTTTCAAGAAAGTAGGCTGGTAAGCTCTGTACTGATGTGGACGTGAGGAGTCCTTAGGCTAGAGGTTTGGGCCAGCTGGGATGAACTTGGATTGCTGGGTATGTGTGGCAGGGGTGTCCCTGGGCATCCAGACAGGGTAAAATAAGCTTCAAGACGAGTTCTTCAGAAAACCATGAGATTAAACTAGTATCTTACAGCCACCTGATCTTTGATAAGCCAAACAAGAACATACACTGGGGGAATGAATCCCCATCCAACAAATGAGAGAGAGAGAACTGGGTAGTCACCTGTAAAAGACTGAAACTGCACATGCACCTTTCTCCACTCACTAAAATTGATTCAAGATGGATAAAAGATTGAAGAAAGTGTGGGGGAAACACTTGAAGGTATTAGCCTCAGGAAAGATTTTATGAAGAAGACTCCAGTGGCAATTGCAACAACAACAAAAACAAAAGGGACTTAATTAAACTGTATGCCTTCTGCACAGCTAAGGAGACAACAACCAAAGCAAAAAGACAACCTACACAATGGGAAAGGATATTTGTATATTTTGAATCAGACAAAAGCTTGATAATTAGGATCTACAGAGAACTCAAATTAAGCAACATAAAAAGAGTCAACACTTCCTTAGATCAACGGGCAAGAGAGATGAATAGAACCTTCTCTAAAGACAGATGAATGACTAACAAACATGAAGAAATCCTCATCGTCCCTAATTATTAGAGAAATGCAAATCAAAACCACACCGAGATATCACCTGCCCCCAGTCAGAATGGTCCACATCAGAAAATCTCAAAGCTGCAGATGCTGGCATGGATGTGGAGAGAAGGGAACACTGTCACACTACTGGGGGACTCCAATCTGATACAACCTTTTTGGAAGGAAGTCTGGAGAACCCTCAAAGAACTCAAGCTAGACCTCCCATTTGATCCCGTAATCCCATTACTGGGCATCTACCCAGAAATAAATAAAAATCATTTTATCATAAGGACATTTTCACTAGACTGTTTATTGCAGCTCAATTTACAATCACCAAAATGTAGAAACAGCCTAAATGCTCACCAACCCAGGAATGGATTAACAAGCTGTGGTATATGTACACCATGGAATACTATTCAGCCA